CAGTTGCAGTTTATTTCTCAATCAATTTCTTTCTTTGGGGGATTTTTTGGTTCTTAAATTGTCGCTGTATTTCAGCATATTTTAAAGTCACTTCCCACACGACTCTTAAAACCCCTTTCCGGATGAAGAGGGTATTACCGGGATGAAAGGCACGGCACAGGAACCGCGCTCCCCGCCGAGCAGGGTGCGCGCAAGGCAGGGACAGGTACAGCCCGCACCCATTCCCGGCCCTGGGGACACTCCAGCCCCGTGTCCCGGGACAATCCCCGCCACCCCGGGACAATCCCCGCCACCCCGGGACAATCCCCCTCCACCCCGGGCTGAGCCCCATCCCCGCCCCTCAGGCCCCGCCCCCCAGCGCCCCCCGCTTCGGCGCCTCCGGCGGCGCGGCCCAATCCCGTTATCCCGCCGCTCCACAGCCTCGCTCCTATTGGCCAGGATCTCTGATCGACGTGCGGCAGAGCCAATGGAAAGCTCTGTCGCGGCCGGGGGCGGGACATCCTGCGTGCCGTGCGGTGCGGGCCGCCCCCGCCGCCTGCCCGGTGCTGCCGCGGCCTGGGCTGGGCCTGCCCGCGCCCGGTGCCCCCCGCGCCCGCCGCGCCCCCCGGTGCCGCCATGCCACACAGCTTCAAACCCGGGGACCTCGTCTTCGCCAAGATGAAGGGCTACCCGCACTGGCCGGCCCGGGTGAGACGGCGGGGCCGCGCCGCGGGGGGACGGAACGGGAGGGGGGCGGGGGTCCTGGACCGGGATGAGGGCGGGATCGGGTGGGGGGACCGGAGACGGGATGGGGACGCGTACTGACCGCTGTCTCCCGACCGGAGGCCGCTGCCGGGATGGAGATGCCATAACGGTATCTGTACCGGGATTGGGATCCCGTACTGGGAGGGGGATCCCATATCGGGATCGGGTGCACGGTACCGAGATGGGAACACATACCGGGATGGAGATACCGGTACCGGGATGGGATGCCCTGTACCGGGATGGGGGGCTGGTGCCAGGGTGGAGATGTTGTAACGGTGCCTGTACCGGGATAGGAGGATCTGTACCGGGATGGGAACCCGGTACGGGGATGGGTGTCCCGTTCGGAATGCGGGACCCAGATCGGTGTCTGTCATGGAATGTGACCCGGTGCTGGCATGAGGGACCTGTCCCAGCACCCAGACTGGGGTGTGGGGTCACATCCCAGCGATCACACTGGGTTGGGATGTCCTGTACTGGGATGGGGTCCAGTACCAGTGCGGGATGTCCCATTCTGGGATGGGAGCTCCCATTCCACATCTGTACCGGAATGGGGGACCCCATATCAGCCCCTGTACTGGGATGAGGTCCAGTACCAGTATGGGGTGTCCCATTCTGGGATGGGAGCTCCCATTCTACATCTGTACTGGAATGGGGGACCCCATATCAGCCCCTGTACTGGGATGAGGTCCAGTACCAGTATGGGGTGTCCCATTCTGGGATGGGAGCTCCCATTCCACATCTGTACTGGAATGGGGGACCCCATATCAGCACCTGCACTGGGATGGGGTCCAGAACTGGCACAGAGATCCCATATGGGATCCCATATCGGGATGGGACCTCAGGACTGGGATGGGGTCCTGCACTGGGATGGGGTCCTGCTTTGTGGGGTCTGGGGCTCTGTCCCTTGTTGGGGACAGCGAGGTGACACTCCGGGTGTGACACAGGTGGGTGGCTGCTGTGAGYGCTCTCAGTGCAGGATCAGTGGGTGCTGCTGCACTTTTGGGGTTTATTTGGGATTYTGGAGTGTGTGGGGAGGGTGACAGCGTCGTGCCAGAGAGCGGGATCTGCTTTGGGATGTGCTGAGCTGGGGGGTGCTCKGGGGTTCTGCGGGGTCCCCAGGAGGGTGTGGCGGGTTCATCCTCTGCCCGTGGATGGGAAGAGACTGGCAGGTGGAACTGTGTGGGATCGGGGAGCTCAGGGGGCCGGACTCGACGCTGCTTGGCCGCACCTCGCCGTGAGATCCCCGTGAGATCCGGGATTGCCGCTCCTGCCGGGACCGCCCCTCCGCTTTAGCTCGCTTGCTTTTTGGGGAAGGGTCCCCCTGCCCCGAAGACCTCCCCAGCACCCCCTGCACACCCCGAGGCTCCCCCCGCCCGCGGCCCAGCCCGCCCGGAGCACAGAAGACGGGGTGTCCCACGTGTCCCACCGGCAGCGGGGCTCCAGCCAGCAAGGACCCTGCGGCCGCTCAGCGATCGCCCCCCGCCCATACAGCCGGGGTCCCGCTGCCACGGATCCCGGGGGAGTAGCTCAAGGCCCACCAGACCCACAARGTTGCCCACAAGACCTCGGTGCCGSATCCTTCCCGTAGAGCTCCCGTAGCCAGGGCCCCGTCCTGGGTGCTTTTCCTGCCGCGCTTGGC